AATGAAGAGTAGCCCCTGCTCGCGGCAACTAGAGAAAGCCCACGTGCAGCAATGAATACCCAACACAGCCAAAAATAAATTAGTTAAACTAATTAATTACTTAATTAAAAAAATAGTGCACGTGACACAGTGCTTCCTGGAGAGCAGGAGCAGGGTCGCTGGAGGGGTGCATGGCCCGGGGTTTCCTCTCAGCAGCCCGCGCCGGGGGCATCCCGGAGTCTGCTGGCCACCTGCCATTCAGGCGTGGCCCCAGAAGCCAGGGCACCATCCCCACTACAGTGAAGAGTCCCAGGCCCAGGTCTGGCCGAGCCATGTGGGGAAGGCAGTCTGCCCCGTGCCAGGATCCTGCCCGAGGACTCAGAGGAGGGCGGGTGGGGGTGGGGGGTTTTACCCCACGTGACCTGTGGAAATGATGGGGGCTGGGTCTGGCAGGCTCCCCTATACAGAAAAGCGTGGGCTCAGGGCCGAGGCTAGACGCTGGACATTCGTGCAGGCTGGTTCCCCACCCATGGCCTTGCTCCCTCTGCCTTGGATGGATGGCCATCACTGAGACGTGCAGTAGATTTCAGGACGCAAGATCAACATACAGAAGTCAACCGTATTTCTGTGCGTTCGCTATGAATGCTGAAACTGAATTTAACGTGGCAGTGTGGTACCATTCCTACCAGCCCAGCCTTGCTGCTGGTTTTCCGTACCCTTTGGGCATTTGCACTCTTCGTGGAGCAGGTTTTTCCACGCAGGAGCTTTTGTTCAGGGGTAAGTTGGGGTTTTTCAGGTGCCTCCTTCCTTATTCTCTTTCCTAACCCTATGCAAGCACCTCTGGCCGCCATCATCTCCTGGGATGCCGGAGGGCTGCCACCCAGGCTCTTGGGCCCAGGGGTAATGCCTCCTAGAGGGAGACCGCACTCTAGTTCTCTGCCGTGGCCTGAGGTGTGGGTGGGCGTGCTTGGTGGAAGGCAGGGGGAGGTGAAGGGGAGAGGGGGGAAGGACTGTTGCTCCTCGGAGCTTGGTAAGGAGGGTGGGCCTAGGGCTTGGCAAGCGCCACTTATGGCAGGTTTAGAAATTTCCAAATAAATCTCTGTTTATTAATGGTAAGCAAAAACAGACAGTGTGGTATTAATGGAGGGAGAGACACGGATCTGAATAGAGACCCCAGAAACTGTCCCACATCCGCACCTTGATTTTCGGCAGAGGTGTAAAAGTAATTCAGTGGCGAGTCTTTTCAACAAACCGTGCTGCAGTAGTAAGACATACACGGGAAAAGTGTGTTGATTCCTTGGGCTCTTCTGTGTTGACCGTCATGCCATCTGTAAATATAGGCAGTTGTGTTTCCTCCTTTGCAATCCGAGTGCCTTCGCTTGCACTTTCTTGCTTTCTTGCCCTGGCTGGAACACGTAGTGCTGTGTTGAATAGCAGTGGTGAGGGTTGGGTCTCCTCACCTTGTTCCCAAGCTGGTGGGGGGAGGGGCAGTTTTGCATGTTACATACCAAGTTGAGGAAGCTCTCCTCTGTTATTAGTTTTCTGAGAAGGTATATCATAAGTGAGTTTTGAATTTTGTCACACGCTTTTGCTGCATCAGTTAATATGATCATGTGATATTTATTCTTCAGCCCGTTGATATGATGGGTTTATTAGATTGATTCTTGAAAACTGACCCAGCCTTGCGTCTGTGGAATAAACTCTGCTTGGTCATGGTGTATAATTTTTTTAATATGTTGCTGAGTAGGATTTTTGCGTTTACATCTATGAGAGATTTTGGTCTATATTTCACTTTCTCTTTCATTCTTTTTCCTTTGGTACTATTTTTGTCTGGCTTTGGTGGCAAGGTAACACTGGCCTCCCAGAGCAAACTGGGAAATGGTTCCTTTGCTTCCGTTTTCTGGAAGAGCTTATATAAAATTGGTGTTAATTCCTCTTTAAGTGTTTAATAGAATTCCAGCGAAACCATCTGGGCTTGGACACAAGGTTCTGGAGTCAGGCCTGCCATAGCTTTAGTGACAGCCAGGCCCTGCGATGGCCGTCCCTGGAGGGGCTGGTGGGCCGGCTGCACCAAGACCTTGAGCAGCACTTTGCTTCCTCTTGTTGTGGCCGACGGCGGACCCTGCTCCCCTGGGGTTGGGGCTCCCCCCATACTCACACGCGCACTCACGATTTCCACCCGCCAGATGCTTCCAAGCAGGGCCTGACCCGCTGGCGGGGCCACGTGTGAGGGAAGGGGTGTGTGCGGGAGCTCTGGGGGCTGCGAGCAGATGCGGGCATCCAGGCGGGTGTTCCAAACCCCCTGCAGCATTTCCTGTGATTGCACCAGTGGTTGGTTCTCGGGAGGTGCCAAGCCTGGGAACACTGTGCTTGCTGATGAGCCGGACGTTCCGGCTAATAATGTCTGCGTGGGACATATTCATTCTTTGCTGAATGACTCCGAATGATCCCCATGATCTTGGGGTGCTGGTTTCGAGAACTTGTTCTTACTGCCTCGGGGGAGGCTTTGGTGGCAACTTCATGCTTCTGGAACACCAGCTCAGCAGAGTTGTTCCACTCTGCCCCCCACACCCCCAGCCATCCTGGCTTCTCCTCTGCTTCACGTGGGCCTCTGTGCCCCCTCCCCGGGATGTGGCTGCCTGCTCCCTTTGCCTGGACCACCTCTCTCCCAAATATCCACGGCTGTGCCCTCACCTCTGGGTCTCAGGTGTCACTGTCCTGACGCTGTCTCCTTGACCTACGTCCTCCTCCAGCCATTTTAAATGACAGTGTAAGTCAACCGACTCTCTGTCTGTTGTCCCTAATTTCCTCCTTAGTGTTATAGCCTTTCAGGGCAGTCTAACTATGGCAGGGGGGTCTTAGTTCAGGCTGCTATCACAAAATGCCGTAGGCTGGGTGGCTCATAAGGAACTGATGCCTTTCTCACGGTTCTGGAGGCTGGAAGCCCAAGACCAAGGCACTGGCCGTTTTGGTGTCCGGTGGGTTCTCTTCCCTGATCTCCTTGCTGTGTCCTCACGTGGTGGAGGGGTGAGGAGCTAGCTCTCTTAGTGACAGCCAGTGCCCTCCCTTATGAAGGTACTGATCCCTTCACGAGGCCCCCATCCTCGGGATCTACTTACCTCCCAAAGGCCCCACCTCCTAGTGCCATCGCGGGGTGGGCGGTAGCATTATGATATATGAGTTGTGGGGGCACTGGAACATGGTTTGTGGTAGCAGGCGTTCCCCACAGTAAGCTTAGCACTTAGAAGAACATCTCATGTGAAGGTGTTGCTTAACAAATGTACGTGGAATGCAGCCAGGTCTGTTATGTACCCATGCTTCCTGGCTGCTGGGCCAAGTTGCATGGGGTTCTAGGGCCTCGGTGGCCCCTCAGAGGTAGACCCAGTGTGCTGCTGCCGGGGCCACACGGCAGGCAGGCCTCTCAGCCACACTGTCCCGCTCCACCAGCTGGACTCTGGCCATGAAGGCCCTCGGGGCTGGACCAAGCGCCCTTTCTCTTGGGGTCCCTACAGGTAGCCCCAGGGTGCACTGAGTGGCCCTGTGCCTGCTGCTGTCTGACACACGCCAGAGACAGACAACCAGGGGGTAGCACAGCCCAGCAGCACCTTCTGGGGGTGAGCCCCACCTGCCTCTGTGTGAGGGCTTGTGGGGACAGAGTGTGTCCTGCAGGCAGGTCCCTGGGCAGAGAATGGGCTGGGAAGGAGCTGGGTCGGGAGCGGCAGACCCGGCCCATTTCACACCCTTTATGTCGTCTGCACAGCGTAGGTAACAGGGCGGCTGGGAGCGTGAGACAAGCGGGCACGAAGCTCCCTCTGCGCTGTGTGTCCCTGTGTGCGGTGTCCGCCCCTCACCCTGCCCCAGGCCAGCTCTTCCCCTCCTGCTGTCTCCTTTGTCCAGCCTCCCACGGTGGCCCATTAGAGTCACCAGAATAGTACCGTGAAGAAACCAGATTGGGGGTTCTTGGGTTGCAGGGCTGACACAGGAAATGCACTGGGAAATCAGCACGCAGATCCTCTATGACTCTGGGACCTTGGGAGGTCCTCATCGGGCTGGGAAGCTGGGACACCCACACCCGCCAGCCAGCGCACGGCCTCAGCACCCAGGGGACAGCGTGTCCTCACGCCAGGGTGCTGGAGCAGCCCCCCGAAACCAGCCCCGCCTCCAGAGCCTGCTGCAGGCCTTGGGCGGGTTCAGCAGGCTCCGGCTGCGGGAGCGTGGTTTTCCTCGGACTATAAAAATTGATTTGCAGTATTGTCTTAGGAGAAGGACACCTTCATTCATTTACTCCGTGAGCCTTTATTGAGCACCTGCTTTTTGCTGGGTGGGTCTGCGGTGGGCAGACCCGGCCTTACGCTTGTGGAGCTCAGTTTGGGGGGGGTGGAGCTCTAGGGGCTCTACACAGCGGGTTCAGCGGGTGAGGCAGAGAAGGCTTCCCCGAAGCTGAGGGTTGACAGGCGCTGGAAGTGAGCGCTCCAGTCAGGGGGAGCGCATGCGCAGACGCCCTGGGAGGAGACAGCAGGCCAGGTTACCCGGCTGCAGGGGATGGAGATGGGGGGTGGGGACCGAGCCTGTGGTCGGCAGACGCGTCCGTGTTAACTGCACCGCGTGGTTTTCCTGCCTCCCCTGTGGGGACCTGCCAGGGAGCCCGGGCCACCGCGCCGTGAGGAGAGCCGCAGGCAGACCCCTGGGCGGGGGCTCAGCCTCTGCCACTCGGCGGCCGAGCTGTGGGCCGGGAAGTGCCCGGAGCCCTGGGCTGGGCCTTCCCCTGGCCCGGAGGTCCCTCCTCCTCCCCTCCCCCTCCCCCGCCCGGGGCCGCGCAGCAGCCGCCGCCCACTCGGCCTGGAGGGGAGGGGTGGTCCTCGCCCCCCAACCCCCGTGCAGGGCCGACCCCGCCCACCTCCTGACCCCGCCCCGCCAGGAGTCCCGCCCACACGCCCAGCCGCGTGCTTGCGTCACCGCCCAGCCGGCTGGATCTGGTTCCAGCCGAGCCTAGCCGGCCTGACATGCGCAGTGCGCGGGGGCTGCGGCGGCCGGGAGGTGCCGCGCTCCCGGGCACACCTGGCGGCCTGGGACGCGGAGGTCAGTGCGCCGGGCCGGGAGCGGGCCGTGGGGGCTGGGGGGCGCGGGGGTCCGTCCTGCAGGGCGGGGCGGGGTCTCGGCGGCGCCCTGGAGACCCGAAACCGGGGTGGGGGCGGGGAGGAGGAGGGGCCCGGCCCGCCTAGTCCCGCTTCCAGACGAGAGGGTCCGGAGCGCCTCGCCTTCCGGGCTCGGGACAGGCTGCGTGGGGCCGGGGCTCTGAGACACGACTCGACGCGCCGCGCCTTCCTCTCCCCAGTCGAGGCCTTGGGTGCCCGCCGACCGTGGGCTGCTTCTTCCATCCCGGGACCCACGCCAGTCCCCTGGGCTCTGCCGGCCCCACCTTCTCTCTGTAAGAACGGGGAGTGGTCTGGACCACGTCGCTGCCCCCTCCCCCAGGCTGGGCTGTCATCACCGTTGGCGACCCGCCTTCGGGGCCTTTATAGCCGGAGGCCTTAGCCCTGCAAGGTCCACCGCCACGGAGCGCATTGAGTGTCAGGGCTTGGGGGCGGAACCCACCAGGGCATCTACCATTTTGCTTGTGAAATTACCTGGGTTTGCGTAGCTCTTTGCTTGGCAATGTGAGTGTTTAGTTTTTTAATTCATTGTTACGCTCAGGAATTCTTACAAAGTGTGGGGGGTATTTTCCTAGTGTGATGAAATGACTTTGGAAGTTACACTTAACAGCGGATGGAGCACAGCGGATGGAGCTGGCGTCGTGAGGTGCTACACGCACGTTTAACGAAGCCTTTGGATGTTCCCGTTTCCTTCTTTTGGAGCCACTAACATGTTTTGTTTTGTTTTGTTGCCTGAAGAGCCTGCAGCCTGGTGCCTGTGGGGCTGGAGGGCAGCTGGGCCCCTGTAAGGCCCGCGGTGGAGGTGGGTTAGGACGCGGCCCCAAACGGGTATATCCACTCTGTGCCCGGTCGTGCAGTTTTCTCTCCCAAGGACGCAAGGCGCAGAAGCCGCTGGGGAAGACAGTCCAGAGTCTGCTGGGTTGACACGGGGTGAAAACGTAATTGAAAATCTTGAGCAAAAGTGGGATTGTTTTTGCTTTGAGGGAAGCAGCATCGGACGCTGTGGGAAGCCTGGCGCCCCAGGCCCACCTCGAGTATGGGGGGGGAGAGAGGTCTTTGTGGTCTTGTGGTATGCTTTTCATTAAAATGGCAAGATCAGTACTGTCAGATTAGGAACGACTGTCTGCTAGTCTTTCAGAAGTTGCTGGAAGTTACGCTCTCTATGTGTTAAACGTTATGTCTAGACTCGCAGCTCGTTCGCTTGATGTTCCGCTCAGCTCTGCCCACGCTGGCTGTCCATCTCCCGGAACTGCATTTCCAGGTTACACACAAAATGCAGCCTGAACTCCTGGTCAGTCACACGTTTCCAAAGATGGAAGGAAAGCAGCTTCTTGCAGGGAGGAGGTGGGCGTGGCCGGGGCCTACAGAGCCGGGGGCAGCTTCTCTGAATACACGAAGCAGACCCTGTGTGATCTTTGCCTTCCGGTAACAGGACAGTCCACATTAGGCTGTTGACCGTGCAGAGCGCAGCTGGGCCCCAAGCCTGTGTTGGCTTCTCAGCAGCGAAAGTGATGGGGAGGGTTGTACATCATCCTCCTGCCTAGAACCAAGGAGGGCCCACGGGCTGGTCCTGCGCGTGGACATCAGAGCTCCTGCAGAGGCCAACCAGCCAGGGCCTGTTTGCTCCCTGCATATGGGCGAGATCAACCCAAAAGCTTAGCCGAGATTCTGGGAAGCAGTGAGAGCGGGTGGCCCTTGAGATCTGGGGGCCACGAAGGCCTGTGCCGTCTGCAGCTAGGAGCGGGTGTGGGGTCCTGGCCCTGGGCCACTGTCCTGGGCCTGCTGTTGGGAGACCTTGGGGCTGTGAATGAAGGTCTCCAGTGGGCAGTGGGGGTGGGTGACAGTCTCTTCCTGTCCTCAGGAGGCCTTAAAGACTGGGTGTGTAGGAGCCAGATTCCTGCTAAAAGTCAGCCAACGAAAGCCACCTCCCATAAATGCCTGGTAAGAAGAATCAGTGGACCTCCTCAGCCCACCCCCGCCCCGGGGCTCATGGGGAAGCAGGGTAACTGCTCTGGAAATGGAAGTGCTGCCAGGGGAGGGGTAGATCGTGTGGCCCTCCTACCAGCTTCGTTCCTGCTGGGCTGGAGCTCTCCCTGATGGAATGTGCTGCATCTTCTCTGTTCTCCTGCCCCCTCTGCCGTGGGGTCTGGGGTCTCAGCTAAGACCTCAGTGGCCCTGAGGTCCCCGTGCCGCACCTCAGCAGCACGTGACCACCCCGCCCCCAGCCTGTGGTGCCCATGTTACACCTGAGCCGGGTGCTCCTCACCCTTCCCCCACAGGCCTGCGGCAGCTCAGCCACAGCTCAGCCTGTGTCCCCCGAGGCCCCAGGCCCGGGCTTGTCGGACACGGTGCCTGGTGGGGGAGGTGCTGGGTGCACCAGGTTCCCGCGTCCAGGCCCTGGGCCTCGCGTGCTGGTGCTGACCTGCCCGTGCACCTACTGGCTTTGGCTCTCCTTTGACCACGTGTCCCTGCGGCCTCTCCCCCCGGCTCCTCCCTAGACCACAGCCTCTGAAGGGAGCCGAGGGATCTCCCCCATCCTGGCTCTCCCCCGAAGCTGTAGCCTGGCTTTGCTCCATTGTCCATCCAAGGGCAGGAACGGATGGACAGCCTGTGAAAAGGTAAAATGAGTAAATATCTCAGGACTTTCTGCTTCCAGAAACGAATTTGATCTCTGTAAACACGGTTCCTGTCTCAGGGCAGTTAAACCAGGCCTCCTGCTGTCTACAGGCCAGAGGGGGTCCTGCCTGCCCCCCCCTCCTCTTGCAGGTGTGGGCCTTGCAGAGAGGCTGTCCTTGCTGGCCGTGACCCCCGTCCAGAGGAGATGAGAAGTTGATCACAGTACGGCCTCGGGAGAGCCAGGCGTCCTGCCGTCATCCAGGCTGATGCTCTGGGGGACCTTGAGAGGGTTTTATAGGCTGGTCATCACAGCACGGCCTCGGGAGAGCCAGGAGTCCTGCCATCATCCAGGCTGAGGCGCTGGGTGGTCATCTACTCCCTGGCTTTGGCACCCCGATCTGTTTCGTGTGTCTTCTGGCTTTTCAAGTGCACGGTGGCACGTAACACACGTTCATTTGAATCCTTGGGTTACGAGAGAAGCAGAATGGAAGTTAAGTCTTCTGGTCGCCGATGCCCCCGGCCCGCTGAGCATGCAGCCGTGCTCAGAGTTTTTTGTTCTGAAGCTGGTCTCTGACAAGGGCCAGTGTCTCCAGCCCAGGTGGGGGGCAGGTCCTGCCGGCAGCCAAGGCCACAGGCTTTGAAACGGTTGATGTGGAAGACCTTTCCCAGAGCCCTGGCCTGTCCGCAAGGGCCACCGTCCCTCGGTGGCACAGCCCCCCGCCTGGGCCGTGGCCGTGGCGACCCCCCCACCCCTCGAAACCCTCACCTCTTCCTCTGTAACCCAGGAGCTGGGCTCCAGCGGGGTCCGTGTGTGTTTCTGGCCAAGAGCGTCTGACGGTTTCGTCACAATGTCCAAGACTCACGTGGAAGGGGACCAGGGGGTGATGGGCTGGGAAGGGGAGAGACGTGGGCCAGGGAGAGGACGCCCTTCCTCCCAGGTGCTGTGTGGTGGTAGAGCCCAGGGCTGCAGGCGGGGCGGCGCTGGGCAGGATTCTTGGGGGCTCCATCTCACCGGTTCTGGGACCCACTGCGGTTGAGCGTTTCCTTGTGCTGTGCGTGTTGACAGCAGACCACAGTGGCCCTGGCGGGTGGGGGCGGGGCCAGGGCTTCACGTACTGTACGGGGACCTCTCACAGTGTCACCTCACGTGGATCTGCCCTGGGGGCGGTAATGAAGCGCGGGGGCTGTATTTTGTGATCTGGTGTCTGTTTCAGCGTGGGCCCCTGTGCTTGTGTATCCTGGTTCAGGCATTTGAAAACGTCTGGTGTCTGCAGCATCTGGATGGAGGAGCTGTGCCCTGCTCTGAACGGCCGCTCAGCCCGGGGCAGCCGCTGTCCCTGTCCTCCAGGAGCTCACTTACCTCCGGCCGTGCGCTCCTTGAGGCCAGAGCCCGTGTCTGCCTCAGCACCGGCACCGGCAGCAGCAGCGGCAGCTCTGCAGGGCACCGGGCCCGTCACCCACGGCCCACAGCGCTCGCAGCGTCCCTGCTTGCCCGGCCCAGCCGCTCGCTGGGTTGATCAGAGCAGCGTCCTGCGTTGTGTGCATGCTTTCTGAAGTTGTTTGGAATTGGGTTGGTTTTTTTTGGCGGAGCTGCGAGGCTTGTGGGATCTCAGTCCCCTGACCGGGGATTGAACCCGGGCCGCAGCAATGAAAGCCCGGAATCCTAACCACTAGGCCACCAGGGAGCTCCCTGGAATTGGTCTAGTTTTAATCAGAGTACTGCAAATAAAATGAAGAGGGTACATATCACTGTTTCTATTTCTGAATTAGCAGAGGAAACTCAGCATTACTCACAGGTTGGGGGAATGAGCGTTTAAAGAAACTAACAATTTGTAACTGAAATCTTAGTGTCTCCTGTGTGTTTCTGCTCTTGTTCTGCAGGGAAGCTGGCGGGGGGGAAGGCTCACGGTGTCTGTGTTGTCCTTCAAGTTGCGTCTAGTTATTTCAAAACACAAAGTTTTACCTAAATATTATAGGAAACACTCCCTCTTTTGTTCTTCATCGTTTTCAGGAAAGGAAAAAGGAATTGATTGGCTACCATGAGTTTCCCTTTTGACTTTTAATAATTGCAGTAATGCTCCTGATTAAGGTTCAGTTTTCAAGCTGAAGCAGCGTCTCAAAGGAGCTGCAGGCGGGGACTGGGCGTCCTGCCCGCGGATGCCTGGCTTCAGAAGCGGAAGGAAGAGGGGGCTGTGTGGCCTGGGGAGGCGCCAAGTCTGGGACCAGTTTCCTCTTAGGTGCCCTCCCTTCCACCCCTGAGCTCCCGTCGCTTCAAGGTTCAGCCGGCTCCATGGGACTTCCGGGAGAGAAGCCGGTGCTTCTGGCCTCAGCGGTGTTTGGACGGAGACCTGTGGTTAAGGATCACTCTGTGGGGGGCGCCTGGCGGGGACCTGCGCTCTGACCACCTCTGGAGAGTTGCCGTGCCCTTGGGGACGCTGTCTGGCCTGTGGACAGACAGCTGAGCCGAGTGGCTGGACTGCTTGTGCTGCCCGGGCCCCTGCCCCTGCCACCTCAGGGTCACTTTGAACCTAAACCCAGCCCTCACACTGGGGTCAGGTCACGCCTTACAGCTCATCCCTGGTTCAGGCTTATGTTTCATTGGCAAGGATTTTTAACGCACACCTTTCTAGTCCCCTAATTCTGTGGTTGATGGGTTTCGCCTGGACGGAGTGGGTGGGTTAGGGGCCCCACCCCGGCCTCCGCTGTCAGCAGGCTGGCCGATGACCCTGTCCCTGTGTGTCAGTGGTCAGCAAGGAGCAGCCCCCCCGACCCCGGCCGGGAAGTCCCACCGGGGGGTGGTCCCTGCACTGCTGGCTCTAGCCAGGTGCAGCCTCCTCCTCAAGTACGTCCGCGGCCACCACTGCCCAGTGGTACTTGCCGGGTGATAGAAGGGAAGCTGGGCCCCGACGCTGAGTCCGATGCTCTTTGAAGTAGGAGGCTTCTGAGGAACACGTGGGTGACGGGCACTGCCCTCTCCCCACCATGTTGGCCCCTCTGAGCCCACGCCCCTGGGGCTCCCCCAGCTCTGCTGGCATCAGGATCAGAGATCCCGTTGTCAGTCGTCCCCCTCCCCCCCCCCCCCCCACCTCCCAGCTGAGCAGGACCTGGCTCTGGGCCTGAGCTCGGAGGCGGAGAGAACGGCCCCTGCACGGAGCCCCGGCAGCACGGGGCTCAGAACTGCCTGGCTCCCCACGCTTCTCCTCCTGAGCTGGTGGGGGACCAGAGGGTCTGCAGGCAGGAGACCCCCTCCCGGGCTACACTGTCCCCCGCAGCTGTGTAGTGTAACCTGTGAGCACGAGGCAGCAGGGGCCCCCCAAACATGGCCCATCTCAGGCCACCCCAGCTGACCTTTCCTTCCTTGGCTCCCCCACAGACCCGTGACCCCCAGTGTGGAGAGCCAGACCCCCACCCCTTCCTGTGTGTTGGGGCCTCCGGGCGAATCCAGTTCAGAGCCCTGGGCAGGAGCTGATTAGAGGGTCCGAGCCAGGCCAGTGGGAGCCCACGCGGGAGGTCGGGGAGGTTGTGGTGGTCTAGGCGCCCCTCCCAGAGTGGGGCCTGAAAGGCCCTGGGGGGAACCACAGTGGGACAGAAGGGTCCCCAGGACCGCCCGCCTCCAAATGCACACACAACTCGAGAAAGCCTGACACGTGGTCGGGGTGCAGGAGGACCCCAGAGAAGGAGAACCGACCCATCTAGTAGACGGGCTCCTCTGTGCCCTCCCGGGCCTGTGCCGGGCCTGCCCCACCCTCCCGGGTCAGCCTTGGTTCATAGAGGAAGACTTTGCTCCCTGAGACTGGAGGGAAGGAAAAAGGTGGCTGGAAGAGAGGCCCGTTTGTAACCTGGGACACCCTCACAAGGCAGTGGGGACGGGGGGCCACTTGTGCCCGGTCGATGGAGCGTTGCAGGACGCTTGCCCTGTCAGTGTCTCCTGATGGCCCCGTGCCCACAGGCCAGGGACCGAGGCTGTGGTGCTACTCCCTGAGTCTTGGCCCCAGCTCCCCACCCCCATAGTGTCACCGGCAGGGGCAGGGCAGGCCTGTCCCCATCACGGAAGTGGCTGGGGAGGTGCGAGGCAAGGGGTCCTCCCGTGGTGGCAGCGGTCCCACGGTGACCGTCCTTCCAGAGTGTCCCGTTTTCATCTGCATTCCTGGCCAGTCCTCAGCAAAGGAACTGGAGACTGAAGTCCAGTCTGTGGCGCCAGTGGTCGGTGCCAGCCTCGCTTCAAGGGATCACGGAGGGAGAGGGGGTCCCCCTGCACATTCTGCTGGTGCTTCCAGTGCCTTGAAGTTGCAGGACCCCCTGGGCTCCCCGGGGTCCTCCTATAGGGGCAGGGTTGTGGGTTTTCACTTTCTGGTTCTGGCTGGGGTGTGACCGGCGACACTGCCTGTCTCGGGGGCCGGTGGCCAGAGCACGAGGCCCGCCAGGGGTCCAGGCGCCCTGCTTGTGGACAAGGGCTGATGGGCCTCCTGGCCTGAAGGACCCGAGCCTGTCCTTCTTCAAAGCAGAGGGTTCTCTGCCTGAAGTGAGCCTGTGGAAACCGTTCCAGATCGAGCTCATGCCATTTCTGCTCTGTGTCTCCTGCCCAGAGTCACGGGGCTGGATGCTTCCTTCATGTGGTTGTGTTTTCTCTGTCGCTATTCCCGTAAGAAGTCAGCACGTTTCCTTTTGTTTTGTTGTTTATTTAGTGCATTTCCTGGATGTACTCAGTGCCTATGTTGCCCGGAAGCCGGTAAGGATTTAAGTGCTAAATGCGCCTTTCATCACCCGTGTGCTGCGTTACTTAATACGGTGCGCGCAGGCGTTCATGCGTGGATGCAATTTGTGCCTGGACTCCAGGGCCCTCCGGGCTCCACCGCGGTCCTCCAGGGTCCCTCGGGGCCCTCCAGGGTGGCCGTGGCTCACCAGCTTGGGTGCACATCCTGCCAGAGGCCTTCCACACCGGCTGACTTGTTTTTGTGCCCTTTGAAACATAGCCTGAAGCGCTCTAATTGGAGAGGGGACTACGTTGCTGAAGCTTAAGCTTTCACCTCACTTCGTGGGGGGGCCTGTGTTTTGTCTGGAGCAGCAGCGCGGTGTGGTGCTTCCGAGGAGACCCCAGTGGTCAGTTCCCCGTGGTTGTGCTAAGTTGGGGAGATGGGGTCTGTGTTCCAGAGAGCAGTCGTGTTAACAGCACTGACCCTGCTGCCCCCAGGCCTTCCCCAGGAGTGGGCCTGGCCTGTGGGGAGTCCCGGGGTGGCTGTGGTCCGCAGGGCTTTCTGGGGGTGAGGCTTCTCCTTTCCCTGAAACTTGGTCCCCAGAAGGGCCCTCACAGGCTGCGGTTGTGGACTCCTGCGTTCCTTCCAGATGGTCTTGGTGTTTTCGTGGGCTGTCCCCCCGCCAGCAGTACCAGCGGGAGGGGCGGGGGCCCCCAGGCCTGAGTGGGTTTAGGAAAAGGACACAGGTCCCACAGGGGGACCGTCCCTGGGGCTTGGGCAGGTGTGCAGAGCCCAGGGGGTCATAGGTGCTGGCTTCCTCACGTGGTCCACACCAGGGTTTGGCCCGGTAGCCTACGTTGTTTACTTGGAATAGCCAGCATTTAAAGTTTAGGAGATTCACCTGTAAACATGTGTTTCTAGCTTTTCTTGAGAGTCCAGTTAGCTCAGCGTTTGCCCCGGGCCCCCAGCTCCCCTGGCTGCTGCGCCCCTGTGTCTTGCCTGGCCCCTGGGCCTCATGGCTCTGAACAGCTCCTCTCGGGGGCCACGGAGTGTGGGCTCCCCCCACTGCCACGTTAGGGGCACCACCGGCCAAAGCGAGAGTGATTGAAAGAAGCTCTTTTCGTAGTTTCCAGAGTCCGTGCCTAACACAAGACCTAGATCCTTAACGCTGGACGTGCCAGCAGCCCCAGGAGAGGCAGTTGGACCCTTCAGGTGCCCCCCTCCATGGGACTGCCGGGGTCCACGTCCCCTCCCTCCCAGGCCCACACTAGAGCCCTGGCCATGTCCCCCTCCAGCCTCCCTCCTGTGCCCTTCCGTGGGGACAGTGGCACCTCGGGCCATCACTGGGCCTGCAGAGTACCCCAAGAGCCCTCAGGGAGTGGGACCTGGCTCCCGTCTCTTGTGTGACCAGGCTTAGCCTCGGGGAAGCAGCCAGCACCCCATAGGGTCAGAGGGGCTTGGGCAGCAGGGGCCTGGACCTGGATTTGCAGGACACCACCGTGTCCTAGTGACAGTGGGAGCCATGGGGGGAGTTGCATCCACCCTGGGGGCAGATGCCTCTGACCCTTCCATTCCCTTCCCAGACCTGCCCAACCTGCTGGCCTCCGTCGGGAGTCAGTGTTGGCCAATCCCCAGCCCTGACCCTTCCCTGGGACTTAGGGCCTCTTGGCCGGTGCGGTGCCCCCCTGTGTGGCTCAGAGGGGCAGGGCTGGCCTGCTGCTTTTAGTGCCAGCTTCTCTGTGAGCCAGCGGGTGTGTCTCCTAGACCCCAGTGCACCCCACTTCGAATTTGTGACAACGTGGAAGGGCCTGGAGGGTGTAGTAGTGCTGGAATAAGTCAGACAGTGTGATTTCACTCACGTGGAATCTAAAACACAAGGAGGCAAACCAAAGATGCAGAGATCAGTGTGGTGGCTACCAGAGGGGAGGGACGGGGGAGGGCGGGGCAAGTTAGAGGCTCAACCCCAGGGTGACAGATGGAAGCTAAAGGTTTGGTTGTGAGCAGACTGTTGCCTCCGCAGAAGTAGAAATTTACATAACGTTATGAGCCAGTGTTACTCCAGTGAAGAATACCTTGTTTTAAAAATCTGATTTGATTCCCTGTCAGCGGAAGTCTGACTGATGCTGGCGTCGGTGTTTCAGGCATGGTTGTGATTTTTAAAGCAAACACACACCCTTCGGGCCGCTGTGTGGTCAGAGCCCCTGCTGCCCCGCCCTCCAGGGTGTTCCAGCCTCCTGCCTCTCCCCCTCCCTCTCCCCCTCACTGTCTCCCTGCTTCTCCCCCCTCCCTCTCCCTCTCCTCACGG